AAAACAGAATGGGACTAATGAGGCACAGCAGTGCAGGGACAAGGACTAGAAGGCAGAAGGGGACAGGAAAGCTGGTGATAGGGAACCCAAGGTTGAGAAGGAACAGTGTTGACATGTCATGGGGTTAACCATTGTCATAGGGCAATATGTGTACTGTTTAATGAGAAACTATTTGATCTGAAAACCTTCATCTAAGGTACCAAAAAAAAAAAAAAAGAAATATCTATGTGAGATCAAACTGACACCAACAACTCAAAAGATTTGATGGGAAGCCTAGGGGACAGTGAGTTGAAGATAATGGTGATGGAATAATTTGGAAAAGGACCGTTAGAATAGCAGCACAACTGGAAGAATGTAATCGATGTCACTGAATTGCACATGTAGAAACTTTTGAAATGGTGTAACTTTGGCTATGTATATTTTCACCAAAAAAAAGTTCCTCAAGGTCAAGAAGGGAGAGTGTTGACATGTCATGGGGTTGTTAACAAATGTCATAAAACAATATGTGTACTGATTGTTCAATGAGAAACTATTTGTTCTGTAAGCCTTCATCTGAAGTACGATAAAAAATTTTTTTTAAAATAAATTAAAAAAAGAAAACAATCATGATGAACTTACGTACCTAGAGCAGAAAGACTCATACAAAGCTGTTTACTTAAAATATGGTCTGTGTTCTGGTGCCAGATCTGCGGCAACTACAGAATTAGAGAGTAAGCATTCAGAAACTCATAGTAATTTGAAATTGCAAACATTTTTATTGTATTTTAAAAAAAAATTATTGGTTTGTAATGGATTGAAAAAAAAAAACAACCGAACTGATCCATCAGCAGTTTTGAGAAGCATGGATATAAAGCAAAACTATCAGAAATGCAAGGAGAAACAGACAAAACCATGATCATAGTAGACTTCAGTGTACCTTTCTTAGAAATGTACAGATCAAATAGAACAATAATAGGATATAAAATAAATAAACCAATTGACAACCTTGATTTAACAGATAGCTCTGTACTCAACAAAGAGCACATTTTCTTTTCAAATATCTATGGAACATTTTAAAAAATTACTGTGTATTAGACCTCAGAAAAGCTCTAAAAATTGCAGGAAGTAGAAATCATATAGGATATTTTCTCTTGCCACAATGAAATAAACTAGAAATTAACATCAAAAGGGTAGCCAAGAGCCCCCAGTTCCATACCCCATACCACATGCAGAAGAAAAACTTGAAAATAATAAATTATTTTGGAGAAAGAAATCAAAATGGAAATTATAGAATATATGCAAATAAATAATGAAAGCACTACTTTAAAGCTTATGGACTGTAATCCATGCAGCACTCAAAGAACATATAAATGTTTATATATGTTTAGTATATTTATTACAATATGCGACTGAGGAAGCTAGTAAGACAAAAAGATAAAATTTCAAAAAGCTAGGTTATTTAAGTTTACTAAGACAATACTCTGGCAAGTCTGATCAAGAAAAACAGAAAAATAAGTAAAAAGGACTAGTGACATGACTCTTTGTGTGTCATTGGTTTCTACTCACAGCGACCCCATAGGACAGAGAACTGCCCCATAGGGTCTCCTAGGCTGAAATCTTTACAGGAGCATATTGCCAGGTCTTTTCTTCTCTAGAGTGGCTAGTGGTTTTGAACCACCAACCTTTCAGTTAGCAGCCGAACGCTTAACCATTGCATCACCAGAGTTCCTACACTAAGAGAGAGAAAGAAAGAGGGAGAGGGAGAGAGACAGATTGTGTGTGTTAGGTCAGTCCCTGGGAGGCACAAATGGTTAAATGCTTGACTATCAATGAAAAAAGGCCAGGCGATCTCCTTCCAAAAATCCTGTGGAGTGCAGTTGTACTTTGCAACACATGGGGTCGACATGAGTCAGAACTGACTTGACAGCAACTGGTTTGGTTTTATATATTTTTAATACATAATTATATATATAATTAAGCATAAAGGTTAGATTCCAAATTAGTGGAAAGTTTATTTAATAGAAAATGATGACACAATTAGCACTTTATTTGGCAAAGTATTAGATGCCTAACACACACAGTTGGGTAATAAATCTATGAATAAATTGCTCATACCTCACAAGTAATCAGGACATGCAAAGTAAAATAACTTTATCAGGTGGCTAACAATTCGAAGTGAAAATATGCAATGCTGGTGAGAGCGTAGGGAAAATTGGCCCTTTTCACATCTGGTTGATGAGTACACTTTTGGAGGGCAACTTGATGTGCTCTACCAAATACGACCTGAACATTTCACGTCTAGTGATCCACGCTACTTAGAGATACACCGCAGCACTACCTGCAGCTACAAAAACCAGAAACAATTTAAATGTTCATAATTGGAGAATGGTTAAAGTATTTCTCATAGTTTTGTATAATGTTAAGGCAGATGAATGTATTGATATGGAAAAATATGCAAGACATATTCTTAAAAACAAAACAAAACAAAACCAAGTATCAGAATAATATAATGCCACCCCACCCTGCACTGTGTGTAGGTTTTTACTGCAGAGGGAAGGTCCCGAAGGATACATACCGAGGTGTCAGCAGCGGTTATCTCTGAAAGGGGAGGGAAATGTGGGAGATGGGTGTGGAGAAGGGGCTTAAGGGAGAGGTTCACTTTTTTAGTTGTTCACTTTGTATTTAAATGGTCAAAGTATATACAGACGTACCTCAGAGATACTGTAGGTTTGGTTCCAGACCACTGCAATAAAGCTAGTATCGCAATAAAGTGAGTCACACGAATTTTCTGGTTTCCCAGCGCATATAAAAGTTATGTTTACACTACACTGCAGTCTATTAAGTGTGCAGTAACATTATGTCTAAAAAAAGTGCATACCTTAATTAAAAGTTACTTTATTGCTAAAAAATGCTAACCATTATCTGAACCTTCAGTGAATCATAATCTTTTTGCTGGTGGAGGGTCTTGCTTTGATGTTGATGGCTGCCGACTGATCAGGGCAGTGGTTGCTGAAGGTTGGGGTGGCTGTGGCAATTCCTTAAAATAAGACAATGAAGTTTGCCAGATCGATTGACTCTTCCTTTAACAAAAGATTTCTCTGCAGCACGCGATGCTGTTTGATAGCTTTTTATCCACAATAGAACTCCTTTCAAAACTGGAGTCAATCCTCTCAAACCCTGCTGCTGCTTTAATCAACTAAGTTTATGTAATATTCTAAATCCTTTGTTGTCGTCTCAACAATGTTCACAGCATCTTCACCAGGAGTGGATTCCATCTCAAGAAACCACTGTGTTTGCTCATCCACAAGAAGCAACTCCTCATCCATTAAAGTTTTATCATGAGATTGCAGCAATTCAGTCACATCTTTTGGCTCCACTTCTAATTCTAGTTCTCTTGCTATTTCCACCACATCTAGTTGCTTCCTCCACTGAAGTCTTGAACCCCTCAAAGTCATCCATGAGAGTTGGAATCAACTTCCCAACTCCTGTTAATGTTGATATTTTGACCCCCTCCCATGAACAACGTATGTTCTTAATGGCATCCAGAAAGATGAATTCTTATCCTTTCCTGTCTCAGCTTTTGACAAATCTTTCCTAAGTTTAAACATTTTCAGCTTTTGATTTAAAATGAGATGCGCGACTCTACCTTTCACTTGAACAGTTAAATGGTTAATCTTAAACATTTATGGATTAAATTCACTGTCTTATATGGGTGTGGTTCGTGGCACCCCAAAACAATTACAATAGTAACATCAAAGATCATTGATCACAGATCACCATAACAGATACAATAACGAAAGTTTGAAATATTTCAAGAATTACCAAAACGTGTCACAGTGACAAAGTGAGCACATGCTGTTGGAAAAACAGCACCGACAGACTTGCTCGACGCAGGGTTGCCACAAACCTTCAATTTGTAAAAAACGCAGTATCTGCGAAGTGTAGTAAAGTGAAGCACACTGAAACAGGTATGCTCGAAATTTTATAAAATTCTTTAAAAAGCTTTGCAATTTAACAAGGGAAGAAAGGAAAGGTTGGACAAGAAAAGGGCTGCTGACTTCCTCTCTTCTGTTTTATTCTAAGCAGCTCCAGGGGCTTCATTTTTCATCGATTTTATACATTTGGCTTCTTGGTAAGGTTTTGTTTGAACACAGGGTTCACACAATAGACCTGAACATTTCTTATGACCCTTGAGCACTAACATTCTATAAAAGAGCCTATGTTTCTTATATCCATGTGGGATTAGTGGGCAGGAACATTTAAATCTTGGTTAAGCTTCCTGTTCCACCCATATAAATTCATATATGTTTATGTATAAGACAAATTAGTTTTAATACTAATAATACACAAACAAGAAAATGTGTGGAAAAAGTCTGTGTATGAAAGGTTAAGAGACAAAAAACTAAAAAAACAGTCGGTGACTGTGGAAATGTTTCACCCTTGTCTCCTATCTGAAGGGGTTAGGTCACACTTTAGCTCTAGGGACCGTGTACAGAACTATTTATGATCAATGCTGCCATTACCTTTAAAATGGTGGCAAGTATATGACATATACCCTGATGCTACATTGGGAAAAAAGCATAAACACCAAGAACATGTGAACTGACAGTGATGTTGCAAATTAAAAAGTTTAACCTTTACTGAACAGCTCAAACGCTACTGCATTGTAGGGCAATTAGGCATATACTGTAAAATTTTAAGATACTAAAGTTAGCATTGCTTCTCGATAACCACAAAGTTTTTATTTAACAAAATAATCCTAATTTTCTAGTATTTATCGAAAACAAAAAGCATTTACTCAATTTCCCAGTCCCATGCCAGCCAAAATCATGTCTTTTTAAAGTTTAACACACTCACCTTATTAAAAGACAAAGGTCTCAGATTCAGTCCCCAATGGCAAATGTGTCGCTGTCTTACCTTGGATATATGTCTGATCTAGCATCATTTTTACCTACTTGTGAAAATGAGTGGACATACTTTTTAGGTGAATAATTAAGCAACACACAGTCCTCCTGTTTTTTTTTTTTTTTTTGTCATTTTAATAGAAAAAATACAAGCTCCCATATTACAAAATATATTTCATATTGTTTTTTCAACAGACAATGAATGTAAAAACACTACAAAATAAAAGGATATTGAAAAGCAAATTCCAGATGGAGACAAGACGTATAATGAAGACATTTCTAGAAAAAAGCCTGAAGAAATTTATACTCTGGGAATTGAAAAGATTGCTTTAAAGGACATACGACCCAGAAGCAAGAAAAAAAATGACCGATTATATAAAAATTTAAAACTTGTGTATGGCAAAAAACAAAAACCACAAAATTAAGAGAGAATTCTCTAATTTACAAAGAACTCATACACATTAATAGAAAAAGATAATAGTTCAAAAGAAAAATTGGTAAAAGACGGGAATAGGCAGTTCAAAGGATGAAAACTATTAAAAAGTCCAAATATATGAATATATACTCAAATCTCATTCATAATTAAGAAAACACATACAACCAATAAGACAAAATTTTCTTCACCCAAGAGACAGCAAAAATTAAAATGCCTGATGAAGCTCGAGGCTGGCTGGTGAGGGTGAAGGGAAATCCATACTTCAGTCACTGCTGGTGGGAGTACACATGGGTCCAACTTTATTGAAAGGCAATTTGGCATAATCTACCAAAATTAAAATGTACAAACTCCAGCAATCTGACTGCTAAAAATCTGTCCTATGTGTATATTTGTTCAAAAGCATATATTCTACTTATGGGGAATGCAAAATACTTGGTAATAACAATAAACCGAAAACAGCCCAAGTGTCCATTAATTGGGAACTGGTTAAATTTATTACGGCATGGCCATAAAATAGAAATACAAGACGATTGTGGAAAAAAAAGAATGAAGTATATCTGTATGTACTAAGCTGTATCACTTAAAAAAAAAAAAAAATGGGAGGGGGCATAGAACAGTGCATCAAGAGAAAAAATGGTATACTAGGGTATACTGCAATTCTTTTCTGTTCTCCAAAGGAACTAACAAACTTAGCTATTTTAAGATAGATTCTATGTTAAAAAAGAAGCCCTGTTGGTGCAATGGTTAAGCTCTCGCTGCTAACCGGAACACTGGCAGCCCCACAGGAGAAAGACCTGGTGATCTGCTCCCATAATTACAACCTAGAAAACCCTATGGGGTAGTTCTACTCTATCATATGGGGTCACTATGAGTTGAAATCGACTTGTCGGCTCTTAACAAAAACGATAACATATTAAAAAAAACACAATATATGAACATAAAAAAAAGATGCTAAACCCAAACAAAGAAAATTAAACATAAACACACACGCACCCTAACATAAAGTGCAGGGGCAAGCCTGCCCTCTTCATACAAGATCCTTATATCCAAACTTAAGATGTACATGGTAAATATTACCCAAGGATCTCAAAGTACTTTATTAATATTCATTAATATATTATAGTGACATTAATATAATAATTCATTAATATAATATTCATTAATATAATATAGTGACAAGCTCCATCTCACATGCTGATATAAGACTACTGGGTCCAAAACATCAGTGAACAGGAAGAAATTCCAGGTGTTTGTGTCTGAGGGATGCTCTGACCACTATGCGATCTTTTCTCCTCATGCCACTTCAACTATGTTTCAGAGGCTGATCTTCGGATCAGGTCACCAAAATAAGCAGTGATTGTCTTCAATTTATTGTTAAGAAAATTTTGCTCTATTTCTACCTCCCCTCCAGGTCCAGCTAAGGAAGCCACCTAAAAAAGGAACAGAAGAAAGTCACATAAGCACAATTTCAAACAAACCTTTCACTTTCATCCACAGTGCTTTATCAAACAATACCAAGATTCTGGCTTCAAATAATGAGGCCTCTCAAATGCTCACTGTTACTTCTCAGGTAGGTATTAACGCAATAATTTATGGCAGAAATGCTGGTTGTTTTAGACATTTTTGACCTGATGGGTAAATCCACGGTGCTATGTTGCTGTACTTGACCTCATCTCTCCAATGCCAGAAATTAAGGAACTCAGAGACGAAGGGAAAATGAATAAATCCTTCTCAAACATCAGGTTAATTTACTAACATAGAAATTTGAAGAATAACCCCTTTCCTGAAAAACTTTCTCCTCTTCCACTTCATCTGCTACATCTTACCCTCTCACTCCTTCAACGACGTTTACTGACCATCTGTTACATGATACTAGGAGTACATTAAAAAGTAAGACAGATATGACTGCTGCGCTCATGAGGATTCTAGGCTCTACTGACCACTTTTCCATCCCCAATTGGTGTCTTCTGATGTTCTTTCAGCTTGGACCAACTCCTCCACCTGTTACTCTTTTTAAGTATACTAGAATATAGTGAAGGAACACTGCTGACTCAATAGTTAAGTGCTCTGTTGCTAAATCAAAGGCCAGCAGTTCGAACCCACCAGCCACTCCACAGGAGAAAAGACCTGCAGATTTGCTCCTGTAAAGATTACAGCCTTGGAAACCCTATGGGGCAATTCTACTCTGTCCTATAGGATCGCTATGAGTTGGACTGACTTGATGGCACACAACAACATAGTTGATTATTAAACTCTTCATTAAACCAACAGCACTGTTCACTCCCCACCTCCACATAGTTAACATCAAAAGGATGTCAAATGAATGACTGGACAACATGGGCAGTTAGCTGCTAATGATTCTTTTGTTCCATAAAATAATGCTTACATTTGACTCTGTAACTCTCCAAACCAGCAATGCTCTACCCTAAGTTCTTACACAAACGTGGTTCTATTTTCGTTCCAACTTTTCTCCATCCAGCCTCTCAGAGGCCTATTACAGTGAAAATATATTACCTGCTACCCCATGATCACGTCACCAGAGATCAGCTTATTCATGCAGCAATAAGGAACACCAAGGGAAAGGGAGGGGGAGCCCAGTGGACAGCCCTGAGCAGTCAGGTAGAACATAAGACAGTGAGGGACAGAGAAGGGATACCTGGGATGATTAGGGACAAATAATAGGAAACATGCATTTTCTGTAATTAATTCTGTAATTGTATTGGCAAAACTTTAGTTGTATATTTTACAAAGACAGGTGCTCAGTCTAGTTTGGTTTAGAGGGTTGAGAGAATCTAATTGCAGAGGTATTATATATATTATACCAGCATCTGGTAGAAGGTAAAATTTATCGTGCATTACCAATGAGTATGTATTTTAAAGTATTTCAACTTCCTCTAAATTAAAAAAAAAAAAAAAAAAAAGTCACAGATACAAAAATAGGAAAGAAATAATAGGTCACTGTATGGTACCTTCTTAAAAGAAAAAAAAAGTTGGCAATAACAATGTCAACCCCCACATCTACCCCCAAGGGAACATAAAAGAAATGGGCTGTGTTTATATCAATGGACAAAGATGAATAAAACACACACCCTAATATTTCTTATTAAGGAATACAGTATTTAAAGTGAAACTGGAAATTTGAAAATAGCCAAGTAGTCTTACAGTAATATTTTGGTATTTTTGGGTCAGCCAAATTTTTCACAAGGAAGGTCAAAATGAGGAATTTTGTCTTTAGTTAACCAGTAAAAGGTGTTTTGGTCAGTATATCTAAAACATAATTGTTTTATAATAATTTTTCTATGTGTTAAGTTATAACTTAAGTTCATCTAAACCAAAAAACTAAATATTGTTTTTGTCATGTGTAAATATACATGAAAAAGCAATATACATTTAACATTTTCTCGACTGTACAGTGTTTCATAGATTGCATAGTATTTTTTTTTAATATGGAATAAAGAAGACTTCCAAATTAAATATTCAGATTACAATACATTCTAATTTCCAAAATGCTAACATGTGAAAAATAGGTATAGATTATAATTCAGAGAAATCAAGCAGCATTTCTCCCATTCCTTTAAGCAAGTGACTGTATTTAAAAAAAGTGAGATGGGCAAAGCTGCAGGTTTTTCGTTTCTTTTTTTGTGGGGGAGTGGAGTAGGAGGATGAGTGGATAGAAGAAAAATACAGGTAGAAGAAAAGAGGAGAGAATAACCAAAGCAAAACAGTAAAAACAGCTGAAACAGCAGCAAAAAACCTGCTAGGATAGGTCAAGCAGGAAAAAAAGCAAACCTAAAGGCAAATTTTAATCCCAGTTCTACCAATAATCTGCTGCATCAATTTAGAAAGCCATTTCAATAGGCTTTGGCTTCCCAGATCTGAAAAACAGGAATAGCATCTATCTTCCCAAAAGGAGCATTCTGAGGGAAAGAAAAAGCAATTTCTGAAATTTACTTGGCGGGTGGGAGGGGGTGGGTGGGGGGTAGAATTAACTGATCCTATACAAACGCATGAAGTCCCTGGGTGGTGCAAATGGTTAACTTGCTCAGTTGCTAACCAAAAGGTTGGAGGTTTGACTCTACTACTTCAGAAAAATCTACTTCTGAAAAATCAGCCACTGAAAACACTATGGAGCACAGTTCTACTCTGACACACATTGGGTTGCCACGAGTCAGAATCGACTTGATGGCAACTAGTTTTCGGTTTTATACAAATGTGTGGGTATATTTTTTAATAAGCTGCCAACAGAATTATATTTTAAAAATTCTCTGAGAAGACAGGGTGGTTTCTTCTTCCTCTCTTTACACTTTTTCCTAAGCCTGGACTTGGGTGCTTATGAAAACAAATAGGAATGAAGATATACTTACTTGACCTCATAAATTTATTAGTTAATAAATTACTTTATTCAACAACTATTTACTGAAAGCCTACAGGCTCCTGCTCCAGGCAGTGGTGTATAGCAAAAATAAAGACCAAACTCTCTGCCCTCATGGATCTTATGTTCTAGCTGGAAGAGTCAGGTAACAGATAAATAAAACAAGTGTAGGTTCCTGATCCTGGAAGAACAGGTAAAATACATCGGATCTGTATGTCAAAATATAATAAGAAAACAAGTATCTGTTTAGTGTTTAGAAAGGAACTTAAAAAATATACCATGTTATTTTCAAGTCTTCTGATTATAATAATTCCTAACTTTAGCTTTTTTGTACTTTATTCACATTTTCACAACTACATACATTTTAAAGGTTAGAATTTTGGACTGTAGGTTAGGTAGTTCCAGCCAGTAAATAATACCTTGCTTTAAGCAAACTTATTGTCATCAATTTCCAGCTGTCCTTATCTTTCACCAGCAGGTGTAACTGACAAAATGCTATTTGGTTCCTTCCGCTTTCTTAAAGCTTAATAAACTGAGGATGGGAGGGGTGGGGTGAAGACAGAGGGAAAAGAAGAGGAGTAGATGGAGAAGTAAAGCTCTGGATTACATGCCATATGTTTGTGACACATTAAATATACCAGAGACCTATCAAAAGAAACCACAATTCATTAGGACTGGAACTAGACTAAGGACTGTACTTTTTATAAAACAACTAGATTTTATGTCAGGCAATAAAGTTGTTCTTTGGAGGCTGTCGATGTAGAAATGGGAGAAGGTTCACAATTAAGGTGATGACTTTAGTAAAAGACATGGAAGATTTAAGGGTTATGTAAACATTAACAGAAACCCTGGTAGTGCAGTGGTTAAGAGCTATGGCTGCTAACCAAAAGGTCAGCAGTTCGAATCTACCAGCCGCTCCTTGAAAACTCTACACGGCAGTTCTACTCTGTCCTATAGGTCACTATGATCAGAATCAACTCTATGGCAACGGGTTTTTTTAAACACAACTGCATTTTTCAAAACCTAAAACTGACTTAAATTAAACTGTATAATGAGTGAATGAGAAAAGGTAACTTCCAAACTAGATCCCAATGGAAGAACAGATAATAAATACTAAGAACAGGAACATGTTATTGTAAGAAAGATGCAGAAAAATTAGAGTGCAGAAAAAAATGTCCTATTACTACACTAGAGAAGTGATTAAACGTACAAACCATGCCAGGTAAAGATGAAGACCACTTGTGTGGGGCCCACAGACCTGCCAGTCATGGTGGCAGGACCCACAGGAACGTGACTGTGTGCAGATACCTGGTGCCACACGGGGAAGTGCCCCCACCCCATGGCTCCTTCCTGCCCGTTTCCTCTGCCACAATCAACTAGTAACTACACAAAAATAAAGGTAAGTCAGGTATACAAATTTCTGATGAACACTTCTCTGGGAGGTAAAAGAAGAAAATATTATTTTTATCAGTGGAAAGCCAGGCAACAACCAAACTTACAGATATTAAAATTAGTTCCATTTCTCTGTACATGATAAACAGAAATGAGATTTCTATGCTTAAAGCAAATAAATCTTCATTTTTTTGTTAAAAGTTTTTCAGATAACTTTCTTAATGTTGCCAGAGGCTCTCACAGATACCCTTATTTCCTGTTTCTTTCTTTACTAAATATTTAGTAAAATAAATGTGATTAAAAAAGCCACCGTCGTCAACAAGAGCCACTAGCACACAGATGTGAGGTCAGAAAAATCCTCCTGGACATCAAAACCTAACCTACTTCAGTCTCCTAAGACAGGGCTGCCAATGATCACTTCACTAAGCTTTGTCCCTTACCCAGAACAGGAAACTGGAAATGGAGCCTTGGTGATGCAGTGGTTAAGGGCTCGGGTGGTTCAAACTTACCAGCCGCTCATGGGAGAAAGATGTAGCAGTCTGCTTCCATAAAGATTACAGCCTCGGAAACCCTATGGGGGCAGTTCTACTCTGTCCTATGGGGTTGTTATGAGTTGGAAGCAGGCTTTGAACCGGTTTGAACCAATTTAGTCATGGCCAACAAGCA